TTTCGGCCAGAGGCCTTCCTCAACCTCGGTCTCTGCCTCGCATCGCAGGGGGAGGAGGCGCTCCAGGGAGGCCGTGGGTTTAAAGTTGACGGTTTTGGATTTTGGGGGCCTGGGGTTTGTAGGGTGTTTAGGGTTTATAGGGTTTGGGGTTTATAGGGTTTGGGGTTTGGGGTCGCTTACGGCTTGGCTGCAGACCCCTGGCCAACCACCCCTTCCTTCTACGAGGGGCATTAGTCGCACGTAGAGACTAAGCAATATTCCTTAAAATATAGTAGGATCCTTAATATGATTTAAGGTATATTCCTTAATTAAGGGATATTGGAGCCTCTGGGTACGTAGCAGTAGCAGTAGGCAACAGTATGAGCATGTGATGAGGGATCAGGTCGTCGCCTAGCATACCCAGAGACTCCGATCTCCCTTAATTAAGGAATATACCTATCGAATCATATTAGGGATCCCCCTAAACCCTAAACCCTAAACCCTAAACCCTAAACCCTAAACCCTAAACCTACTATAGCTTAAGGAATACTCCTCAAATTAAGGGAGATCGGAGTCTCTGGGTAGTGAAGTAACAGTGCTTCAAGGCACAGGCGCTCGAGGCCATTGACAAGGCCTTGGCGATTGATGACAGGCTTCCCGGCTGGGGGTTTAGGGTTTAGGGTTTAGGGTTTCTTGTTTGTCTGGTGCTTTGTAGGGAATGGGGGAATGGGTTATAGGGACTACTACAAGGGACCTTAAGGGACTATCATGAATGGATCCATTCCCCTATGCCCTACTGAGCACCAGACAGTTGTCTGTAGCCCGAGCTCCAACTTGATCATGCTGTTGCTTGCTGAGGGGCCATGGGCGCAATCAGCTCGGGTCGTCATGACTCCATGCCTTCACCCTCCAGATTCAGGTACGACGATGCCCACTACAACCGCGGCCTGATACTGGATGAGATGGGTGTTCTGGCTATGAGAAGTAGGGACTGGGAAGGGTCGAGCCTTCTTTGAGGCATCATCTTGTCTGGGGTCAGGGTCGGAGACTTAATTAAAGTCTCTCTCACTCTCTTGCAGATACCGACTTCAAAAAGCTGTTCGCCTCAACAACTAGTACGATGGTTTCTGTTGAACCCAACATGTTATGTAAGGCTCTGGTATACTTGTACTTTACGTCAGGACAGCCTCGGAATCACGTTGTTTCGTCCCTCTCTGAGCTGCTAGAATCTCCCTCTGGGAGTCGCAATAGTTAGCAATAGTGTGCCCTCGTAATTCCGACTTTTATGTTCATCGTACTAACTTAACAGAACATACCCTACGAGCCATTCAAAAGTTTAAGGCCCATATCGCACCCGGAGACGGTAGGATTCCCCGGTTAACGAAGACTCCTTGAACGAGACTCGTCGTGGATTCCTAGGTTTAGGGCTTAACTGTTGATGATATAAGTCATGAATTACCTTAAGCACCCTAAACTATGGGAAGTATGGTATATTCCTTATTAACCTAAAACCCTAAACCGTGTAGGGTTATCGGGTTGAGGGTTTGCAGGATTTTTATCATCAACCGAAGGTCCAGGCATGTTTGGGGAAGATCGGAGGGGCAGGGCTACGTGAAGGAGATTGTTTTGGGTTTAGGGTTCAAGGGGTTTTAGGAGCCTAAGCTTCCGAAGTACCGGTGATGATGAGTGTGCTCAACGGGGGATCCCTTGAACTAGTGGGTTTTGGGTTTGGGATTTCTGGATAGCTGACCCCTGCAGCCCAAGAAGCAGACGTCCTCGTTAAATCTCCTACTTCTCTCCCAGCCTCATGATCGTGTCACTTCTGACCCTTATTGCATGCCCCATCAACATCCTAGCCCTAAGCCCTAAACCCTAAGCCCTAAACCCTCATTGCATGGTCCGAGAGTGAGCGCCGAACCCCAAACCCGAAAAGCAGGAAGCTCCAGTCCTGAGCCCTAAAACCCTAAACCCTAAACCCTAAAGCCCTAAACCCTCGAAGCCATGAAGGCACCAAGAAGCCTTGGAGCCCTCAACCCCAAAGCCCCTAAATGCTTACGACTCTTAAAGCAACCCTTGTTGTTAACCCTGACAGGGGTTCCTAAACCCTAAACCCTAAACCCTAAACCCTAAACCCCTAAACCCTGAACCCTAAACCCTAAACCCTGACTCAGGTATGGTGGAGGATGCGCTGGCAAGTTTTGCCCGGGCTGAAGAGAGCGCGATGCGCCTGGGGGACATGGAGAACGCCGCACAGTGCCTTGGCTTCACAGCTTGTTTGAAACCCTAAACCCCAAACCCTAAGCCCTAAACCCTAAGGGTTTATTTGGTTTAGGGCTTTAGGGTTTTGGGGGTTCAGGGTTCTGGATTGAGGTTCACAAGGTTCGGCACTGCCACGATAGTCATGGAGGTTTCTCAAAATTAATTAGGGATCCCTATGATCCCTGTTGTGAGGGGTCCGACTCTAGAATGATCCCATTGTTTAGGGTTCTTGATTACAGTCCTATATTTTCGAATGTCCCATGTTGCGAATCTAGGATGTTGGGAAAGCACCGCGCGCATTTTGCAGATGTTGCAGTCCGTGCGGCTGTGCGCACCCAGACTTGCAGAATACAGGGTGCTCTCACGGGCATACGGCCTACGGATGTGGAGAACATCAACTGCATATCGATTGCTCCGCTCAGAGCCTCCGCCCCTAAAGCCTCGAAGCCTTAAATGGGAGTTTCAGAAAATTAGGGTACCTTATTTTGGGGTCCTTATAATAGGGATAATATTATTGAGGGTACTATATTAGGGTCCCCTATTTTCGGAAACCCCCAAATGTCTACATCCTTGAAACCATGCATCCGAAACCACAGAGCCGAAAGCCCTACAGAATACGGATGGAGGATTACAGCCCTACACCCTAAACCCTAAAGCCTAAATCCTAAACCCCAAACCCTAAACCCTAAATCCTAAGCCCTAAACCCTAAGCCCTAAACCGACGCCAAGTGGCAGGTTGGGGTTCCAGGCTTGCAGCTCCATCCCGCAGTATGGGGCTTGGGGCTAGGCCTAAATACTATAGGGCTCAGGGCTTGGGACACTGAGGTTTAGAGTTAATATAGGGTTCTAAATGATTACCTATACTATTTTTGGGGGGTTCCTTATCAGAACTTATAGTATAAGATACCCCAAAACCCTATGGAAATTATTAAGGCCCCTATATTTACCCTTAACTGTCCAAGCCTAAACCCTCACCCCAAACCTCAAACCCAACACAGAACCCTACGGCATAATGAATAATGAGAACCCGAATCCTCAACAAGAGCCCTAGTGGCCTCCAAGCCTAAACCCTCACCCCAAACCCAAACCCTAACCCAACTAAGAACCCTACGACATAATCCCTTCAGAAGCTTATAGACAACAGCACGAACCCTCAGCCCCAATAAGAACCATCAGCCGCATGAAACTCGCCGTCACAACCTTCAGAGCTTTCAGGCAAGGCCTAGCGTTTACCAGTGCAAACTCAGGACCGAGAGGGCGAAGCCCTAAAAACAAAAACCATTTTACAGTTAGGATAGTTTACACAGGTGTGAAAGTTTTGCTGCAAGGACTTTTGCTGTTACTAGCTGGTCAGACCTCTACATTGCACCCCATGCTTAGTGTTGTTTAGTAACATTGAGGCTGCTAGTACTGCTGCTGCTGCTGTTGTGGTTGTTGGTGGCTGGTTTTTGTTCGGTGGTCGTTGCTCGTTGTCGTTGTCGTTGTTGTTGCAGCTGCGGCAGCTGCTGTTGTTCTTCCGCGTCTTCTGAGTGTATGCTGGTGTTACTTGTTGTTAGTGCCACGATGAGTTTGATTAGCGTGATCGCATCCGGCACGTGCGTCTTAGTCGAAAGAAGTCCCAGGTACAGTGCTGCTATTGGTCTGCTACTGCTGTCGGAGCAGAGGCAGATGGACAGTGTAGTCTGTGCTTTGCCCCTTGCTAAAGCAGAAAGGTTCAGCATTTCAAGGTGGGACATTTTACCTTTATAGACCACACCCCAACCGCCTAAGCTTCTGAAATAAACAAACGGTCTAACCTTGGTCATTAGTGTACTGGCGCCTTCAAGGGGTTGAAGATAACAGGGAGCTTCAGAGCAGCGGAAACCCCTCCTGCAGGCCTGAAAGTGCGAGCCCCAATGCATCTTGATCAAGCAATAGCCCTTCAATCACGAGAAGAAGACAGCTCTCCGTAATTCGAGGATTGCTCTTCATCGAACCCTAAACCCTAACCCCTAAACCCCTAAACCCCTAAACCCCTAAACCTAAACCCTAAGCCCACAGGCACGGCTTTCCAGGGAGTGGTCTGCGGTTCTTGTCTTTGGGCATTTTGAGGAAAGCCCTAAACCCTAGACCCTGAACCCTAGACCCAAAACCCTAAATCCTAAACCCTAAACCCTAAACCCTGGACCCTAAACCCTAAACCCGAGACCCTAAGGCCGATTCAGGGTTCAGGGTTGGGAAGACTGTGAGCCTGAGTGCTTCAGCGGGCTGTGAAAAAAGGGGCGTTTATAATTAGAACAGGGTTTGGGGGCTCCTTTAAAGGGTTCTATAAGGGCTACTATAAAGGGTTTAGGGTTTAGGGGCCTTAACAATTAGAATAGGGTTTGGGGTTTCTTATAATATAATCATAAAAAGGAACCCCCCCAAAATAGTCTTGGTAACTATTTAGGCGCTTACAGTAGAGTCCAGGCTTTGGCGCTTTCGCGCTGTGGGCTGAGGTTCGAAGTCTATATCTCAATCGGGTGCTACGGTCTGAGGTTTAGGGGGGTTGTGTGTAACTGGGGTTTTAGAGGACGATCTGCTGGAAGTTCGATTGATTGCACAATCGCTGCAGCGAACGCCGGCTACACTGAGGTCCCCAAGTAATTACTTTCTTTTTACACGTTCTGATCTGCATAGTGGGAAGTCGAGTTCCCTTACATATAGTTACTCAGGTGTTACTGGGGATCCTTAAAGTAAACCCTAAACCCTAAAATCTAAACCCGGAACTAAAGAATCTTGCATTCGACAGCAGGTACTCGGAAGCATTGGCTGCGTATGACAGGGCCATCAGAAACTCGGATGCGCAGGGGCTCTTCTGGGTTCAGGGTGTCGGAATTAGTGTAGGGGCCTTAATAATTAGATTAGGGTTTCGGGATCCCTTAGAATTACCATAATTATAGCAAGGAGCCCCCCAAAATAGTATTGGTAATCGTTTAGGCCCCTAGTTTTCCCTGTAATGTAGGGTCTGAAAATTTTGCACCAGTATCCCCGCATAGTCTCAGTATGGCTGCCTTATTTTTATGATTAAGGCCCCTGAACCCCCAAAGCTCTAAGTCCCTGGTAGAACCCTCATAAGGGCCCTTATTAACAGATCCTCTTGCGTTGAACGCCCTCAATCCCGCAAGCACTAAGCACCGTGCACAACCTTATTCTAGGTGTTGCCAACTTCTGAACAGCCTATGACATTTTCAGGTGGGTAGCTACCGTTATAGGAGCCTTATAGAAGGTCTATATGCCTTATAGATGCCTTATAGAAGTCCTATGTACCCGACACTCCCCACCTGCAGTTTCCTTTAAAGCAATGAGGCCCCAAAGCCCTTCGGCCCGAAAGGCCCCTATATCTTATGTTGGAAACCCCACTTGGAGGTTCAGGGGACTTAATCTTTAGGGTTCTATGGCCCACTTGCTAAGCCCCCTGAACCCTAAACCCTAAACCCTAAACCCTAAACTCAGCAAGCCTTTTAAGCTGACTCAGGCCAGTGGCCGGGTTCTGCAGATTTTTGGACCGCTCGGGGGGAGGCGGCCGGCAATGCCTCAGAATGTTAGAGCGCTTTGGGTTTCATGGAAAACTATCTACGATGAATGTGGTCGTGGAGGCCTTGAGGTTTTTGGGGCTTAAAGTGGTTTAGGGTATAGGGTTTAGGGTATAGGGTTTAGGGTTTAGGGTTTAGGGTTTAGGGTATAGGGTATAGGGTTTAGGGTATAGGGTTTAGGGTATAGGGTCTAGGGGTATAGGGTTTAGGGGTGTTGAGTCTGATCTGAAACCCAAGCCCTAGAAAACCCTCACATAATCAATGAGAGAAAACCCCAGAGACTCCAACACCCCATAACTAAGAAATATCCCTTAAATTATAGTAGGACCCTTAGTATGATTTAAGGTCTATTCCTTAAATAAGGGATGTTGGAGTCTCTGGGACCCCATACAACCCGGAAGAAGGCGCTTTGTGAGCTCGGGCGCTTCGACGACGCTTTGGCGAGCCAGCGCCGCACGTCAAGCTACGGTTGATGATATAAATCC